AACAGAAAATAATAACATGAATTACACAATGTAACAAAAATGTTTTCAATTTGATTGTTATGGTTCTTCTGTAAATTTTATTGTACTATTTATTTACACGCACCATCAATAATTTGGTAAATATTTAGGTCAGGTAAATCTTAGATTGAAACATTGGTTTAGTACAGATAAGTTTTTATACTAATTTTGCATGTTTTTTAAGATATTTTGCTTTTGCAATGATGGGAACATTCTAGATGTTTCTGTAACATTCTGTAATATTGTGTAATATTCCAGTGGTTTCTAGTGCTTTCAACATGTCAAACTTAGTAAAGAAACATTAACAATAAAAGCAAAACAAAACTTTTATAAAAAAATGTTTCATGGTGAAAGATAAAATAATAAAATACAATAATCTGAAGTATTTTACTAGATTTCTACTACAAATTTCCAGCAAAATACCATTACACAAATTACACATATCTTATAAATCCTGACAGAGCCCACCTGCACTTTTACACAGTTCACCAGCTTTTGGCCTTTTTCAGACAGCTCACATCTCCAGCCCTGGGGTGCAGTTAGCTAGAGGTGTAGGATGGACAGATGGTGTCACTCATCCTTACAGGCTTTAGGGACCTCTCACCTTGCCCAGATCAGCTCACAGGAATGTAGCTAGAGGAGAGACAGCTGTTTTCTAGCTGCAGTGCGACTTTTACAACCAGCATCCTCTTTGACTCAGAGTTAAACAGATGAGAGTAATCAATACTTATGGTTTTAAGATTAAATTGAGAGACACAAATTTAATAGGGGATAAAAGGAACTGTGTGTGAAACCTTGTAAAGTGGCAAGTGCCCAATGCCAATAAAAATTTGGTTTGGCTGAGTTACTGGTCTGTTAGACAGCAAAACTGCAAAACAATACATTCACCCAAGCCGTAGCATACCTGGACCTAAGCCATATCTAGGCCCAAAATATAATCTGGCATTTACATCTGGCATTTTCTATAAAGCAATCATGATCAGATCACACTTGACCACATTAAAAAACATTAAATAACTGTTGAGAAAGTGCATCAAAAATGTTTCTTCTCTTCACTAGAATGAATGACCGAAAGCATTTTGAATAATCTGTCGAAGTCAGGAATGTAAAAAGTACTCAAAAACTTTACTTAAGTGAAAATACAGATATTCAGTGAAACTTTTACTCAGTTAGAAGTAAGGAGATTCTTGTTATTGCATAGGAAAATAAATTGCATAAAATGCTTTGTCAGACAGACAGACATACAAAGATTTGGTTAAAGGGAGAAAACAAAACAAAATGCAACGGCACAGGTCAAAATACTCTATCTTAAAGGGATCCTCCGTCCTTTACACCCTCATATCATCCAATATGTATATGACTTTACAGTACTTCTTCTGATAAAGACAAAAGAAGAGTTATAGAAAAAAAATAATCATCTCTCTGCATTTAATGCAAGTGTACCCTACACAGAGTGAACACGACGGTAATCCATATGACCCCAGTTGATGAATCAATGTCTTCTTAAGCGAAATGATTAATGAGCAAATCTTGTAATTATTTACATTTAAAAAATGCATTGACAGTCCCAATCGTTACTCAGTATATCAATACACCTCAATACTCAATACCATGTTAACATGAGCTGTTTATCTGCTGCCTGACAATTTAAATTTGGATTATCAGAAGCAGGGTCAGGAATTAAAAGAGCTTGGGGCAAAAATGTCCCCAAAATTAAAGATATAGGGACAAATATTTATAATATATGATCTTGTTTAAACAATATAACACAAGCAAGAGTACTGTTTCCTCTGAATATCTGCACGATTGCCAATGTAATATTAATGTTATACAATTAATTTTATTTATTACATTTTAGACACAAAATTGTCTTGTTTTGCTCTATTTCACCAATGAAAATAGTTCCAAACAAAGCCAGAGCACAACCGTTATGCATCTCAGAGAAAACCACAGAGCAGTGTTTCGTTAATGACTGAATCTGCGTTTATGTGTTAAGGAATCAGGTGAGTCAGTGATTCAATTAACCATTCATAAAGACATAATTCACAAAGATGTTTGCCATCTGTGCAATGTAAAGATGACTTGTTAATGCTGATTTAATCTGACTGGTAAATGGTGATTTGAGTAAGAATTTTAACTAATTTATAAATGTACATTTAAGAATTTGACATTAGATACATACATTTAATTAGGTTAGCAAAAAAAAATGCTTTTACAAATGTAAAAAAAAGAGAAAGAAAGTCACACAACCTGTTTTGTAACAAGTAAATTTTTACATTATAATTTTTGTGTAATCAAATAATACAAAAGTACAGTTTTATAGTTCGTATGAAATATTTATGGAAGGTAAATTTACTCAATTCAGGCAGTTGAACCAAAGAGTATTATGAATCCGGCTTATATGTCTGTATGCCCATGTTAGAGACTTTTAAAAGCAAATCCCTGCCGTAAGCTGTGGCAGAACTGCCTCAGGAACAGGTAATGTGCTAAGGATCGTTGGGTCAATATGTTACTGAGGAGATGAGAGGCGCAGAACCTTGGTGAGCCTGAGACATAGCGCAAAGCTGGGGGAAAAGCCCAGGGGGACCTGCCTACCCAGGAGGGCCGTGACGTTCACTGACCGTGAAACTGACAAATGGCCAGTAAAGCAGCCGCAGCGGTGTGCATGCGCACTGACAAGCCAGCTGAGCTACGTGACCATAGGCACACATGTGCACACTGAATTAAAGCTGTAATGCTAGCTTCCTGTCACCCTCTGTAATGATACGGTACACAAATGCTCATTCACACTCGTGGGCTGCCATGTTTAAAGCTTACAACGCTTCTAATTTAGTGACCTTTACTGTTTTACATACTCATCCCCTCTGGCACTTAGTAGATTATATACAGCAATGCACAGACACATGCTCTTCTTACTGTACTCTTCTGGAAAAATGTCTCTTATGTCACATCGTTTTGAGAGCTTTAGATTGTCCGACATGACGGGCACAAATCCTACCTCCGGTTTCACAGCCACGGCCTTGGAGAGAGTCAAGGAGGAACGAAGCGAATTCAGATGATGCTATATCAATCTGCAAAGAGAGGAACAGGATGAATTGCAGTACCACCTGTGGTTCTTCACAGATGTGTACAGAAAGCATCTGACAGCCATTAAACTGTCTGAGAAATGACTTTGACTCACCTGGATCAATGGATCAGGTCTTGATACTCACTAATTAAAAGCGTCACGGATCTATTTATAGGACAATTTACCCGACGCCATACAAGCTTTCAGCTTGTGACTCAGCTAATTTCAAGCAATGGCTCATGCAGTGTACAGTACACACACAGGATATTGTCCACCAGCTTGCTCAACTCTGTATTTTCGAATGCTTCATCACAGATAGAGAATCTCTTTTAAGCAGTTCTCTTATTCATTCATCTTAGTGCAAGATTAACATTTGTTCTCCATTTGATTTTTCTTCCCTGTCTTCTGTCTTAAGTGTGAATTACTTCCCGAGATTCTTGAGTGGATTAAATGAAATTGACAATTGAGTGTTTGATGCAGCAGTTCTTTATCATTGCCTAATCTTCTGTTCTGAAGTCAGCATAAAGTCTTATGAAACCTATTTACTTTCTTAATACATGTTTGTGGTCTTATTTAAAACAATTTATCAGTTCACAGGCGGGGAAAAAGATTCTTTGAAATTGAAATAACTTAAAAGTCTCAAAGACGTTTCTGTTCGGCTGACATCATCTAGGCCACATGATTTAGCCATTAGCTGAACAGCTATTTGTAGTCAAATACTGTAGCTACTGTACAGGCATTGTTTGCCTAACAGCCGTTTTTTTCCTTGTTAATCTACTGTTGAAGATAACATAACTATTCTAAAATATTACCAATAGTTATAGTTGCTGATGCCATTATTAAACATGAATGTGATACAGATTACAGCAATAGGAAATAATTATACATTTAAAGGGATAGTTCACCCCAAAATTATATATTTTACCCACCCTTAAGTTAAGCAAAGAAAAAGATATTTAAAAGAAATATCAGTTGAAATGGGGAAAAAAAGTCAATGTCTACCGCCAACTATTTTGTTAACAACATTCTTCAAAATATCTTCTTTTGTGTTCAGAAGAAACTCATACAGGTATGGAACAATGTAAGGGTGAGTAAATTTTGGGTGAACTATCTCTTTAAAAAAGACGCAGTAGCAATAGTATATGTGAAGATACTGTAGAGAAGGGATATATGCTTGTTGCTTGGTGTTAGTGGCCTTCATTATTATAATTTACAAAATTGTTATACATTAAAATTCTGTCACATTCTAGACTTGTAATTCTGCTAAGAACATGGTTGTCTAGCAGAGTCATAACCTTGATTGCAGACATATGGTGCAGTAGCTCCTCGGGCTTCCCGTGTTCGAGTCCCAGCTTATGCAGTGCCAACATGGATATGGCATGGACAAGAGACTCAATTAAATTTAAGATAATTTTACAAGAATGAAACCTATTGCACATATGCAAATGAACTACAGTACATTATATAAGTATGTCCAAATTTATTTGCATACATAGTGTTGGGGAATATATACTAATATTATGTAGCATATCTCAACTGCTTGTATTTTTGCAAATTGTAAACTACTGTATATTATCTCCCAGCTCTAATCTGCTAAATGTGACTGTAAGGCATGAAGATATTAAGATATTACAAACATTAATATCATGATTTTCTGTAAAGCTGCTTAGAAACAATGTGTATTGTGAAAAATGCTAAATAAATTTGACTTGACTTGGCATGAATGCAAACTTACCGTCAGGTCGGGCTCTATTATAGAATGAAACACCCACTTTTCATGATCAAGTCAAGTCATTTCTTGTTGAATATCTTGTTTTACTTTTATATACATCACATTACAAAAGTAAAATGGGTTGCAAATACTGTTTCATGCTGACTTGAAAGCTCTCTCTTTATCTATTCCTCATCTACATAGATTAACCATCCATGCTGAGTGCCCAATGCATCTGGAGGATTTTCCTATGGATGCCCATGCCTGCCCGCTGAAGTTCGGAAGCTGTAAGTTATTCTCTGTTGTCGTCATTGAATTTTTCTAGATTGTGTAAGTGACAGCTGCTCAGGTTCTCTGGAGTATGTTATAAGTATATTGACATGCATGTTGCCTTGTGCGCATGTACCCTGCGCTCTTAGCTCGGTCATGAGCTTGACATCGAAATCTGTGTAACATACTGAACTGGATCAGGTGGGTGCAGGTTGAGCATCTAACTGCCTATGACAACAGACAGACTCTTGTTTGTCTTAAAGACAGTCCAGATCAGAAAAAACATCTTAGCAGCTTATCTTCTAGACACAGCTCAGAGAACCCAATAACACAGTGTCTTTCTCCACAACTCAGAATGGTACGTAATGTCACACCTGACACTGATTACCCATCTGTGTTTGCGCCTAACAGTAAACAACATCTATCTAAGACAGCATTGTCATTAGAATACAACATAAAACCCCAAAGGCAGACCAAAAAAATGGACCTTGTTTCTTCTGTGTGGAGTCACCAGTTCTAAAACAAACAAACGTTTCGTAATTCTCCTCCTGTGCCGAGCTTTAGATTAATAGCCCAGCCAATGACACCAAAGGTCATCATGACGCAGCAGTCACACCTTTATGAATAAAACATCCCATTGGGCAATAAAACAAAAGTTCTCTGCTCATACATTTTCAGTAGTACCTTTTTACCCCCATAATACCTATTTTTGACAGGCGCAGAATGGTGACCCCTCATTGGTTCTGTGATTCATGCAGCAGAAAGACAGCAAAGAATTGGCTCTTTAACAAGATATCATACAGTGGGCTGCATAATTAGTGGCTTTGTTAATAACAGTTGATTATAAGCACTGTTTCCTTAATCACCCAATCAATCCGCTCTTTTTTGTTTTGTTTTGTTTTTGGGTTTTTTTGTTCCCGACTTATATTTCAATTACAAAGTTGTGTGTTCGTTTGTATCTTTAAATATTTGTCAATATTTGTTTCAAGGCATGTTTTCCCACAATTTGGGTTGATTTTCATTTTGTTTTTGCATTGCTGGAGAAATGTTATCATTAATATTAATAACAGCTTGTTTATTCTCTTTAAAGCAAGCTGAGCACATCTTCAGCTACTGTATAATGAACGTGATATGATGAATAGCTCAAAATATCAATTTATATATATATATATATATATATACTGTATGTATGT